TACTGAAAACAAAAACAATATAAGACTATGGCATCAAAAAATGGGACATCTAGGATTATCAAATCTCAAAAAACTGCTGGACATGTCAGATGGAATGAACCTGAAATATAATAATTCCGAAAAATTTGTTTGTGAAATCTGCTTAAAAGCCAAACAAACCAGATTGCCCTTCAGTAGTGTAAGAACTCGTGCTACAAGACCCCTGGAAATTTTACACACCGACCTTTGTGGACCCATAGAAGTACCAACATGGGATGGTAAGGAATACATTTTGACAGTTCTGGATGATTTCACTCATTATTGTCGGATATATCTCTTATCACATAAATCTGAGACCGCACAATACATAAAAGAGTTCATAAATGAAGCCGAAGCTTATAAAAACTTGAAAACTTCTAAAATTCGAAGTGACAATGGAGGTGAATATTCAAGCACAAACTTTAAAATATGGTGTAAAAACAAAGGCATTATTCTGGACAATACAGTACCATATTCACCCCAGTTAAATGGCAAAGCTGAGCGATTAAATCGTACATTATTAGAAAAGGCCAGAGCTATGATTTTTGATAGCAATCTTGATAAAGAAATGTGGGGTGAGGCAGTGTTTGTTGCTGGTTATCTACTCAACAGAAGCCCTACTGAAACAACGGGTAAAACTCCAATAGAAAATTGGACTGACAGAAGACCTGACCTTACAAAAGTACAAGTATTTGGATCCAATGCCTATACAAAAGTACTTGGACATTTAAAAAAGTTTGACCCTCGAAGTCAAAAATACACTTTTGTAGGCTATGCTCCTTGTGGATACCGGCTTTGGGACTCTGTAAATAGAAAAATAATAGTTCGAAGAGATGTAGTTTTTGGAACACCAGAAAAAATGGAACATAATGTAAATATGAAAACTGAGATTGAAAGTGCGGAAGAAGAGGATGATATGAATGAGCGAGTGAATGAGCCAGATGAAGAACCAGATGAAGACGAGAATAACAGATCAGGAGAAGGCCAGATAGAAGAAAATCCCGACGAAGAACCTGAGGAAATTCAAACAAGAAGTGGAAGAATAGTTAGAAGACCCAAAATATTTGATGAATATGTAATGCTCACATATGAAGAAGCTATAAATAGTGCAGAAAAGAACAACTGGATATCAGCAATAAATGATGAAAAGGAATCACTGAACAAAAATAATACATGGATTTACGTAGACAAAGAGAAAGCTGAAGGACAGAAAATATTGAGTAGCAAATGGGTATTTCGTATGAAAGAAAATGGGAAATTTAAGGCCAGACTAGTTATCAGAGGATTTGAGCAAGAATTTGGAATTGACTACAAAGAAACTTTTAGCCCAGTAATAAGTATGTGTCCTTTAAGAGTACTATTTGCATTAACTGCTTCAAAGAGATTTCATTTCAAGAAATTTGATATTAAGACCGCTTTCCTCTATGGAAAATTGGATGAACAAATATTCATGGAAATCCCAGACGGTTACAAGAATGAAAACAATAAAAACAATGTGTGTCTACTACAGAAATCTTTATATGGCCTAAAACAAGCTCCTTTAAATTGGAACGAGCATTTCACCTATGTGCTGAATTCCAAAGGACTCACAGCTTTAAAAAGTGAAAGATGTATTTTTAAAAATTCAAGTTCAACCTTATTTTTAGCCATTTATGTAGACGATGGTATCCTTTTTGGACATAACATTGATGAAATGGACATTTTGCTGGAGGAATTGAATAATGAATTTGATATGGTGTCATGCAATAATCCAACCTCATTTTTGGGAATGCAAATAAAAACCAATATTGACAGCATAATTCTGTTTCAAGAAAATTTTGTGCAAACACTTCTGGAGGATTTTGGTATGGAAAAATCAAAATCAGTGTCAACACCAATGGTCTGTAATCAGAACCAAGAAGCAATATCCCCAGCAAATAAAACCTTTCCTTACAGAGAATTAATTGGAAGTCTCTTATACCTCACTAATAAAACCCGACCAGACATCAGTTTTTCTGTGAATAAGTGCAGCAGAAAAATGGAAAATTCAACTGTTGAAGATGTTGTTAATGTAAAACGCATTCTACGTTACTTAGTGATGTGCAAAAATGAAGGCATAAGCTACAAAATGGACTCTGATAGTTTGGAAATGACTGCCTATAGTGATTCAGACTTTGCTGGTGATCTTGACTCAAGAAAAAGTACAACTGGTTACGTGATCATGTTCTGTGGAGGACCGATTGCCTGGTGCGCAAGAAGGCAGCCAATAGTGTCTTTATCCAGCACAGAAGCTGAGTACATTGCTGCAGCAGAGTGTGTGAAAGAACTGACTTATCTGAAAACAGTGGTGGACGAACTAATGGACAGTGACATTAAATTGAAATTAAAAGTGGACAATCAAAGTGCTATTACACTAATAAACAATGGACAATTCAACAAGAGAAGCAAGCATATTGATGTGCGTTATCATTACATCAATGAAAAGGTATCTCAAGGTATTGTAAGTATTGAATATTGTCCAACAAATGATCAAGTAGCCGATATCTTTACTAAACCTCTCAATAATGTTAAATTTGAGAAATTTAAAAAAGAATTAATGTGTAAAATCTGATTTTCAACTTGCAATGTTTTTTTTTTATAATTAAAATAAGTTTATTTTTCTAGCATTTAAAAACCAAAAACAAATTAGGAGAAGGTGTTAAGAATAAGATTTAAATTAATAATTTGTTTTTGTATTTGGAATTGTTTACTATTTTCATGTTTTATAGAATTATTTGATAGATGGCGCGGCATAACTGTATTGGAAGTGTTCGATAACTTTTCTATGGTATAAGCTAGATATTTGTTTAAATAAGAATTTGAGGTTAAGCTGAAATGTGTCAATTTTTGAATTTATTATCAGCTGTTAGTTTGAAGTTTCAAGTTTGGCTGTACTTGTACTACCCATGTGTTCTTTGTTTTGTGGTGGATTGTGGAAATAAATTAATCAAAATTCTGCGTTTATTTAATATAAAATAAGATAAAATCCCAACATCGAAAAACAAGATACCGGAAATGCGTTGCTTTGGTGACGAGAAAGCTTAACCGCATCCAATAATCGATAAACAATGACCAATAAATCCCAACGAATAATCGTTACCAAAGACACAAACGAAACACAGCCTTTGGTATTTATCCTACTTGTGGTGAAAATATAATATTTATTCAATTTTTCCTAAATAACACAAGGAACACAACCGAAAACGTAATCAAACCAACCAATCTAGAGCCGAGTTTTATGTTGTGACGTCATAGTATGTCAGCCATGATCGCTAAAATGTAGTATCCCAAGTAAATACAACATACTACTGGGTTAAAACTCTCGCTAAAATACGCCTTGGGTCGTATTTATGTTGGAGCTAAGATAAACGATAAAGGCAACGATACTAATGTAAAGTATCATTAGTATCGCTGCTTTTATCGTTTATCACAGCTCTAACATAAACGCGGCCAAGAGGCGATTTCGGCAAGCTTTGGTTGGTATACCATTTGGTTAACCAATATTGGTACCTGCAACGTCATAGAAATGACGTAAGACACCATTTCATTCCGAATTCGTTTGATAGGTCGTGAGAGAGGGGAAGAGATGAGCCTTAATCTAACTTTTTGTTGTTCTTCTAGTTTTGGGAGTGACTAGGTACTGGACTGCACTGACTAAAATCTATAATCACTAATCAGCACTGCCTAGACAGTACCTTTGAGTTACCTATTGGCTAACTCAGCGTTTTCTGTAAATGTAAAGCTTATTCCATAATCCATTCAGCAAAAAAGCTACCCCATATCTGTCGTTCAAAGTCATTTTTCAAATGATCGTTAAACATTATTTGGCAGTCAAAACATACGAGAAAACAGGAAGATGAAGGCGAAAAAACAAACATATTTGTTAAAAATATCAAAGTATTCAAATTCTAATGAACTTTTATTTATTTGCATTTCCCAGAGCAGGACAAAACGAAAATAAACGTAGATAGCACTATACCAAATGAGAAGAACCGTGCTGCTGAGCACGGTATCCTATTTGACAGACCAAAAAGGATACCAAAGTCACGGTGACGACATCATTTTCGTATCCGAAATTGGTTGGTATGCATTTGACAGACCAAACAGGGTACCAAACCATGTACCAAAGCTTGCCGAAATCGCCTAAGGTGTGCCAACGCGCTTACCGGAACGTGTTCATGGTGACATTTTCAAATAGGGCAATCCAACGACCTGTCAAAACGAAATTCAAAATGGAGGTCCATGCCTTTTTATTTTTAAAAAATGCCGTTTTATTGCGATTTTTGATTTGTTGATGTTGATGTATATTTCTTGGTTGTGGAAGCCGTTCTAATCGCGAGAAAGTCTCGTTTCATGCCGTTTCTGCAGAGACAAAACACAGGTTTTTAACGGAGAAAAATGATTTGTCTGTACTTTGTAAGGGCTTCATGGATTGTAGCAAAAAAGAAAAAAATCTGACGAAATCCATATTAAAAAACCAAAAAGTCCCTCTACATAAACGGTGTATGGATCCAAGCCATTTACTATCCTCCACGTCAACTTGTGTCGTGTGTCGATACCTTGAATAGCAGACAAATAAAATATAAAATATACATCAGGATTCAAAATTTTGTTAAGAAAAAACTAAACAGGAAACAAATCCTGTATAGTACCTACCTAACTGCTTAGTAGGTAAAGGTTTGACACAAAGAAATCATAACTTTTGCAAACATCAGGGTTTTCCACTAATAATTTCTTTAACTAAAAACTCTCCATTTAAAAATACGACAATTAGCCTTCCAAGTACTAGAAAATCATCTTAAAACACCACAAAATACACAAAAAACAGGTTTTTGATGAAAAATGTCACGGTTGTTTGAATTAAATCTATGGCGTCAATTTTTTGGCATAGGCCGCCATTTTGTTTGGATGTCAATGAACATTTACCTCCGACTGCTTAACCGAAACGTTAAACGTAACACACCCCCGAATACAAATAGAAAATACTAAACAAAAACAAACTTTTTCACAGTTTGTTAATAAAATTAAAGACAACTCCAAAGTTATTGGCAGATAAGTTCAACTACATGGAAGGAATCCTTTGGAAATGGACGAATTATTGGAATGGTAATTTTGTACTGTTATTTTAACCAGGAGAGCTTATCAACTGGGAAGCAGCCCTGATATTCATCTCCTATTTAATATGTTACATTTATGTTCTTTCAAAATCTATTATGCCCTAGGTTGGCAAACAAGATGGTTCATTCTAGAGAATGGTGTCCTAAGTTATTACAAATCTCAAGAAGAGGTGTTCCAAGGATGTAAAGGATCTATCAAAATTCAAGCCTGCCAAATAAACGGTACGTTCTAACTTGTACCACAATTAACAATAAATACAGATCCATTTTTCGTTAATCTATAAAACATGCAAAGAAAATTATTTTAGAAAAATATTAAGCAGAACCAAAAACAGACAATGGAAGGGCTGCATTTCTCCATACAACACTGTAATTAATATGTCTCTTAAGCTGGAAGAGCAAAGTCAGCAGAATCAAAAATCAACATAATGGAACATTAAAGGCTCATTAAAGGCTAATTAAATGCCCTATTGAGAAATTTTAGGCTCAGTGAATTTTCGTGAAAATTACTGTTCTGTTAGCTTTAACCTAAGCCAGCAGAACTTCAGCGAAAAGTGGCTAAAACAACGAAAATTGCAATTTCACTTGCACAGACATTGACCGCTCATTAAAGGCTCCGCAAATACACCAATCGCGAATTTCAGGCTCAATTACTTTTCTTGTGAAAATACGAAAAGTCGCGATGCGAGGGTGATGTCGGCCAAGCATGGCGGAAAAATATCTGACAGTGAAAATCAGTGTTCCGATAACGCAGTCGTTGTGAATACATTAAAGGCTAATTAAATACTGTGATGAGAAATTTTAGGCTCCGCGAATTTTCGCAAGAATGGCTGTTCTGCTAGCTTTAACTTAAACCAGCAGAACATGAACGAAAAAGTGGGTGAAACAACGAAAACTGCAATTCCATTTTGCACAGACATTAAATACTCATTAAAGGCTCCGCGAATTTCAGGCACAATTACTTTTTTTTGTGAAAATGCGAAAAGTCGCATCGCCTGAATGTGGTCGGTCAAGCATGGCGTGAAAACCTCTTGGACAGTGAACTTAGTGTCTTATCGAAGGCTAATTAGATGCTGTAATGAGGAAGTTTGGGTTGATTTTCAATTTCAATCAGACAATTCCAAACTTACCGATAATAACCCGGGTACTTTTCCAAGCTCACTTGATCAAAAAAGTAATTGAGCCTGAAATTTGCGATTGGTGTACTTCTGGAGCCTTTAATGAGCCTTTAATGTGCCTGCAAGTGGAATTGCAATTTTTGTTATTTTAGTAACATTTTTGGTCATGTTCTTCTGGCTTAACTTAAAGCTAGCAGAACAGTTATTTCCATGAAAATTGTCGGAGCCTAAAATTTTTCCTTAGGGCAGTCAATTAGCTTTGTATGAGCCTTTAATGTTCCATCTATTGATTTTCGATTCTGCTGAATTTGCTCTTCCAGCTTGAAAGATGTGTAATGAATTTACTCTAGAATTTAAATGAATAATAATGACAGGACTTGTAAGAAAAGGTCCTGACAGGACTTGTAAGAAATTATGTTTAGGTACTGGTTTCCTGCATTTACATACATATTTCCCAAATGTAATTCAGAAAAACACAAATGTATTTCAGAAAACCTCAATTGTAATTCAGATCTTTCCAATGTTATTCAGAAAACCACAATTGTAATTCACATTTTTCCCATGTAACTCAGAAAACCACATTTGTAATTCTGATGTTTCCTCGGATTTTTCAAATGTAATTAACACGTTCACTGCCAACTACGAGTTAACTCGTCGTAGACAATCTTATTACAAGTGCCAGCTACAAGATAACTCGTATTTTGCATCGTGTTGTTCAAAGTCAAATACGAGTATATTTGTTGTAAATACCATTCGTGCTTAAAAATTAACCAGATAATTTTCATTCAAGCTTATCGATAATTTTTAAGCACTCGTGGTATTACCCTCGTTAATTTCTGTAGTAAATGCGAGGGGTCCAGTCAGAGCGAATTGGTTGAAAATACTGCAGAACCTCGGTTATCTAAGGTAATGTGGGGGGTACCCACCTCGGATAACTGAAAACTCGGATAATCCGAATGTACATATCTGTATAAAGAAAGAAAGATAGAAGCATATTTTTGACATGGTTACATATTATATATGTTTGATGCAAGTCAAAATTCAGCTCTTACAAATAAAAATATTACATATGTATGTATATTCTAGAAATTCGGATAATACGGAGTATGGACGTGCATACCTCGGATAATCAGGATTTTTGGGTCTTTAGACTAACTCGGTTAATCCAGAGCTCGGATAATTGCGATTCGGATAATCGGGGTTCTATTGTAGTCAAAAAACTGGTTGTTGGCGATTTACACCAATCAAAAATGCTCTGACTGGTTTGTGATTTCTGTAAGAACAGGCCTAATCTTCATTTCGTTCTTCTTCTTCTTCAAGTTCTAAACTCTTCATAGTCTCGGGTTCAGTTATTATTGGCTCAGTTATTGGGAAACTCGTTGGGATATCAAATTCATTCCAAATTGTCTAGCAGTCAATGTTGCCTAAAACTTAGTCTTAAAGGCAAATACACAACTGACCGGTACGCTGTATTGTTTAAAATGGCGTATGATATGTGATTTCTGGGTTAGAATGAGATGATATTCCCAGCGATTACCACATGATTCTCAGCGATTGCCGATGGATTCCTGTGTAATTTTCATGGAGTCCAAGGAGATTCTTAGCGATTCCCAGGGACTCCCAAGTGATTTCCATGTATTCCTGATGAAAAAATGTACAATGATTTCTACTAGTGGTTTACCCCTCGGATAAATGCAAGATCAAGTGCAAGTGATGTTAGGATCGAAGGTGATTTTTCTAATTCCAAGAACACTTTAGAGCAAAATTCTTTAATTATTCTCAGAGTCCATAATTTCTGTAGTAAATGCATTAGTTTCTAATGGTGCAGATGATATTAGGATTGGAAATGATTTTTCCAATTCCAAGAACACTTTAGAGTAAATAATTTTTACTTATTTTCATAAATCTTTCTGTTATGTTTATCTCAAAGAGCGCATGGATTGTACACTTCTCGATACTTTTATAGACCCCTAGCTGGTGACATGTTTTGGTTCACAATATTTGTTGAGCAGAGCGCCGCTTCAGGTTTTTACACTTTTTGAGTGGGTAGTTAGGGTAGTATTTACTAAACAATCTAATTAGGCATACAGGTTTGGCAAGTCAACGCATCTTACGGGACAATTTTAATGCAATAGAATGAAATGACTAGAACAAGTCGAAGGTTGAATAGAGAACGAAAACGATTTACCTTGTTCCACTTCTAGTATGGAGTGCTGGGAATGCCGGAGGTAGAACAGAGAAAATCGTTTTCGTTCTCTATTTAACCTTAGACTTTTTCTAGACATTTCATTCTATTTTATCAAAATTGACCCATAAGATTTTGCCAAATCTGTATATTGTCAGAATCACCAGGAAAGTTTGAGTATTTTTTATCTGAAACTACATTTAAATAAAAATGATCTGTAAAAAAATAAATAAAAGAAATAAACATAGGTATATTTTTCGAGAAAATTTACTTTTAATAATAATTAGGTAGGTATGTATTTGTGTGTAAAATATTTAAAAAAATTAAATATGTATGTATGGACTTTTCCAACTAATTAAATATTATATAATTAATAACCAAGTTAATAACAAAGAACGAATTTTTGACAGGCGATGTCATAGTGAATTATCTAAGAAATCTGTCAAATATTTAGGACATAAACTCTACAAGACAAACGATATTAATAATAATAAAAAATGATGCCAGTTACGGAATCATACTCATACCCCTAAATTTTATAAACTTTAGACGAACTAAAAAAATTATAAATAATTACATATTTTTAGTGAGTCCAATTGACCATACCCGTATGGATTTAGTAATACCAGGTGAACAGCACATGTACTTAAGAGCAGCCACATCTCAAGAAAGACAACAGTGGCTGGTGGCAATGGGAACTGCGAAAGCTTGTGTGCATACCAGAAAAGGCAAGGAAAATAGTGAGTATTTGATAAGGACATTTAATAGTTTCCAACTTTTCACTGTTTTATATTAAAATGGTTTCTTCTTATATATCTATCTATACATGCTAGAACGATTTAATTTCCAAACCAATGTACCTACTTATACCTAGTGTTTTTTGATCTGTATTAGCTAAGCAATGGTATCACTGTGTCAAACAATCTCTAAAAATTCTCAGAATTTGAGGATTATTATACTTGTTTTTTTTTTTTTGTTTTTTTTTCTAGCAAAATCTCCAGATTCCCTTAAAACCAAGAAGTCTGAATTAAAACTGTATTGCGATTTGATTATGCAACAAGTTCATGTGATTAAAAACTCTGCATTGGCACCTGAAGGTCCACAGATAGAGGTACATAGGTTTAATTTAGCCACTCAATAATTTATCATACATTGATATAAATAAATATTTCAGAACATGGATGAAACTACAAGATTATTAGGAGCCACGTGTGATACATTCATTGAAACCTTGGATGAATGTATAAAATTGTCGGCAACTAATGTATGTCAAATGCCTATGGGTAACGAGGTTATTTTGCCACCAGCGAACACAAAAAAAGTAAGTAACATTTTCGAATATAATCTTGGTAAAGCAATGTATTTTATTTTTTCCAGATATTAAATCGATCAAATTCAGGAAAAACGTAACTTCTGAAAATATTTAATATTAAATTTTTTACACATTTTTATTGTTAAATTAGGTACGTTTAGATAAAGGTTGTTTGGGTTTTTAAAAAAACCTCTACCAAAAGAAATCCGTCCCTTGGCTATAAAAGAAGGGATTATAACTTTTCAAAAACCATAATAAACCAGTCAGAATCTACTTTGAATGAGAAGTTTCAAAAACTGTGATTTTTTCAAAGGTGATTTATTTTTTATTCATTGGAAAACAAAAATCCTAAATATAAAAATATCACAAGAGGTAGAAATGCCCATTCGAAAAGAACATGGGTATAATGTCAAAAGCTTGTGGAAAATTAAGATAGGAAAAAGGAAAGGGCAAAATGTTTTAATAGTATTTCTTCTGAATTTTCAACCTGCAAAAATAGTTGACGAGGACGAATATATAAAATATATTCATAGTTTCTGCAAAATTCTGAAACAGCAATAATTTAAAAGATTCATTTAAAATAACTGCAAGTTTGTTAGATTTTGGGAACATAGTGGCAAAATTACACCTTCCAAATAGTTTTAAAAAGATCAATCAAACCCATAACAAAAATTTCAAAAAATAGATCTTTTTCCGCTTTTCAAATAGGTGGAAACTATATTGTAAATTGCAATGGCGGTGATTATCTCAACCTCAACTTTTTAGGATTTTCGTATAAGTATTATAATATAGTATTAGACCTATAAACTGCAACAAAAACTTCCTCATAGGCCTTATTTTTTTAACTTGTTGGCCTGGCCTATAAGTACAGTTCCTTATTCTACATAATAATATATTATGTAGTTGATAAACAATATTTTTTAAATTTAAAATGGGAAAGACTCCAATAGTTAAATATTCGAAAGTATAAAAGAAAAATATACATAGTCTTTAGATATTTAGGTTAGCCAGATATTATTTTCCAATAAGTATTTACATATTGTTTGTTGTTAATATGTATTTGTTTTCTATTATGTTAAACTGGCTGTTCGAATAGTGGACTCTAATCTCTTGAAGCCAAAGCATAAGTTAATTTTGTAAAAAAAATAGTAGTTATTTATACGAGTACATTACGTAAATACATTTTTGGTGACAATTAACAGGAGCAGTAGATGTAATAGATAATATACCATTTGAGCTCGCTAACTATTTCTTAGTGACCTGTTTGCGATTTTTTGTTTAAATGTTTTTTTTTTTTGTTTTTTCCAATGTTATTGTTACATAATTATTGCACACTGGTGTCTTTTCAGCATTAACGAGTGTTCTATCTGCTTTGCATCCAATAATGTATTTTCGTGATTACAATAAAGCATTTGATATCTGGATCTGCCTTTTCATTTCCTTCCATGCCTTTATGCCATGGTATATCCACAATAATGTAACGCTAATGAAAGATGCCAGTTGCTGTTGATTCCATACTAGTCGCTTGGACTCCATCACAAAGCTACGAAGAGCTGTCAAGTAAACATAAAAGTGGCTGCGTCTGACTCTCGAAACTTTTTAGTGACTTTGTCTTTAGGGCGTTTGATATCCTGTAATCACTAATTTGGACCTTATATGCCTACCAAACTTCAATCATCTCTGCTGTTTTTGATAAGTACACCTATAAAATAGGTTTCAACCACTTTATATATCAAATGCTCAAACTTGTTTTTTGGGTTGCACTGTGTCAACCTGAGGTTGTCATCAGTAAGGATTGCTCAACAATGCTGATGTGACTGACAAGATTTTCCTCTCCTTCACTTACTACATCAGTAGATACCTATATGTAGTTGGAGCACGCCCAATTTCAAGCTTCATGTCTGCTGTTGGGCAGGTGCTTATAGCAATAGTTATTTCAAGACATCAATACCTTTTAGTACACGTAAATTAAACATATAAACATGGAAAAGGATACATAATTTATAAAGTTTTATTTTTTTTTTTTTTTTTTTTTTTTACGGATATGCGCACTCGCAAGGAAATGTCCTATCACGCTCGAGAAGCGGCAAGTGCGCGGAAATGTCGGTGTATGTTGGTCTTGAAACGGTTCAGGTTGTAACCTGCAGGGAAAACCGTCGTAGGGAGTTTATTCCACAGCGATGCTGTTCTCCAGAGATATGAATTCTGATATAATGAGGTTCTTGGTGCCTCTAGTTTGACAGTAAATTCATGGTTACCGTCTGTTTGACGGGTTCGCCTGGTAGGTGCTACTCTCGGTGGAATCATACGTGCCAACTCTTCAGAGCATTTTCCGTGATAGTACCTGTAGAAGAGAGATAAATCGCCCACCGTTCTGCGATGTTCGAGACCATCCAAGTTACGAGTAAGTGCGGGGTCATTGATCAGCTTGATAGCTCGTTTTTGCACGGTATTCAAAAGCATTAAGGTATGTTTGGGTGCTGCACTCCATATATGTGAGCAGTACTCCATAGTTGGTCGAATCTGGGCTTTGTAGAGTGTCAGCAATTGGCTTGGTGTGTACAGATGTCTTGTACGAAATAGCACCCCCAGCTTTTGGGAGGCCCTTTTAGCAATATCTGCCACGTGACTGTGCCAAGACATGTTGGTCTCTGCAGTAACCCCCAAGATGTTCAACTGACTCTGTAATGTGACAGCACTTCCAGATAGCATGATGTTTGGCTCACCGGTGCTGGTCTTTTTTGAAAACAGAGCTGCTTGGGTTTTCTGCGCGTTGAACTGTACAAGGTTTTTGTTACCCCAGTCCTCTATTATCTCCAGGTCGTTATTTATCTGCGATATTTGAGTTAGTCTAAGATGATGGAATTCACGTGCGGAAAGACCTGTCGGTGGTATGAGTGAGGAGACTACATTGCCATCGTCTGCAAAGCAATAAAGTGGATTTACTGTTTTATCTATGAGGTCATTTATGTAAATCAGAAAAAGAGTTGGCGAAAGTATTGCTCCCTGTGGCACACCAGCATTTATTTGGTAAGAGTTGGAGTTCTGGCCATCCAGTGCAACATAAATGGATCTGTCCTTTAGGTAACTTTCAAACCAAGTGCAAAGTTTCGGCGATAATCCCATTGCTTTGAGCTTGTTGAGCAGATTTTCATGCCAAACTTTGTCGAATGCTTTAGATATATCTAAGGCAATTGTTCTTGTTTCACCCCGCAACTCAATCGCTTTTTGCCATAAGTGAGTGACGTATACATTTCTCTAATGGGGTCAGGAACAAAACTCTAAAAAGTTCCCAATTTTACAGTGTCCGCAACATCCCTTATTTTGCAAAAAAACACCCCCGGATCGTACATTGTACCGATTTTTGTCAATTTCCTCGGAAACCGTTGTTCACAAGTAAAAATGAATAGACCAAAAATGTTCGCTATTAAATTTTACACAAAAACTGTTCTATAAAAATTTTGGCTAATCCTTACTGAATTCTCGCAAAATATGGTTAAAGTTAAGGGTAGTTTCTAGCAGACCGCTAAAATAAGAGCGTAAGAGCTATGATACCAATTTTGCATGCTACTGGACACTTCCCATACGCAAAATCATGCCAAATTTATCTACAAGATATGGAAACTGTTAGATGCAAAGTGACAAATGATGAGTTTGAAAAATTCGCAAAAGATGGTTTTTTCACTATCCGTCATTCTGATAAACGCTGGTGTGGTGTATGGTTAGACATGACGATTGAACAGACGTTAATGAAGAACATGAAGAGCGTTGATGGCATAACACACGGAAGAGGTTTTACTGAAAGCGTCCTCAATAAATGGATTTACGGGCTACCAGTAGCTTACCACGTTTGCGAGGCCATGGAAAAATATTGCCAGATAGAAACAAAGAGTAGTAATCCAACATGTTGAACTTTGAGATGGAAGAATAAAAAAGGACGAAGAAGATTGTGAGAAATTACACATTGGCTCAAGGAACATTCTCCATTAATTATAACGGAAAATTTGGTAGATATCACTTTCAAGTGGACTTGTTGCCGATGACAACGTCGACTGTTTTAAAGCAAAAGAGATCGGAATAAAATCGATGGAAACGTTAATTAAAGAAGGAAGAACATATGGAGATTTGAAACTCAAACGTTCGAATATGACAAAGTCAATCGCATCTACTACAAATTCCGTCAAAATTAAAGACGACGATGTGATTCAAATCGATACGACTCATGGACTCAACTATTACAGAGAATACTCCTGCACCGTCCGTTCCCTAACATAATTAAAATCATGTTTCAGTTTTGAACTGGCCCCTGTTCCCGCTTCTTTATTTGATGAAAAAGGTTTAATGGGGAAAACGAAGAAATCATCATTGTATGAAATTTTTAACAAAGTTCCAGAACGAACTGCTGACTTGAGCGGACATTGCGAATTTGTAGTGGATGGTGGTAATTTGCTTCACCGTGTGGTATGGTCAAAACAGGGTACATTTCGTGACATTTACTCGGCCTATGTTAACTTTATACGTAAGCATTATGGCCACTATGTAACTGTAGTGTTTGATGGATATGCTGATAATTCCAGTAGTACAAAGAGTCTTGAACAACAAAAACGACTCCTAAAGCGAACTTCGGCTACAATTATTGCATTCAGTGAAAACACACCAATACCGTATCAACAAAAGACTTTGTTAAGTAATATAGCTAACAAAGTTGTCGAGAGGCTAAATTCTGAGAATATTAATACTTTTACTGCTTTAGACGATGCTGACTTAGACCGAAGACACAATGACAAATACAAGGTACAAGTGACAAGAGACAAAAATATAATAACACCTGTATCAATGCTATTACACAGAATAAATGGATATAGAGGATACAATTTACTTGCCATGCCATGATACAGAATTTCAATTTTTTGTTATTTTGTATCTGTCTCTTGTACCTTGTATTTGTCATTGTGTCTTCAGCCTTACTGATCGTTAAAGCCGCCATCGATGTATAAAGTCAACACGACACTGTGGTTGTAATTGGTCAAGATGTCGATCTTCTCTGCCTTATTATTGCTCTTACTCCTTAAAGTAAGGAAATTTTGTTTCTGAATCCAGCCGTAGGAAATATAAAGAACAGAATCTATAGATCTTCTGATATGCAATCATCCAATGTTATGAAAAATATTAAAGAAACTGTTCTTTTTGCATATGCGTTTAGTGGTTGTGATACCACTTCCGCTTTTTTCGGTAAAGGCAAGTCTCAAATCGTAAGCATATTAAACAAGAGAAAGGATTTGGAAGATGTTAAATTTGGCATATTTTCAACACTTCACAATCTACGAAAGAGCAAATTGGAAGTGCTGGTGAAAAATTCACACTTGCGTAATATAAAGCTGAACGAAAAAAAACTTCTTTGAATAGCTACAGATTTATTTGTTTTAATAAGTTGGTTGGCCAATTCAATCGTGCTGTAATTTTGTCTAGATTGCCATCAACATTTGCAGCATTGATACAGCATTCTTACCGGGTATTTCAACAAATTCAATCTGGGCAACATTTCATCACCAGTTTTTACTATCGAGGCGCCGGCTCCGATTTCTGCTTTGAAAGTTACATTGTGCAGCTGTAAAAAGGGTTGTGGTAAGCGATGTGGATGTCTTAGACTTGGATTAAATTGTTCAACCATATGTGTTCCAATTGCCATGGACAAGGTTGCTTGAATGCACCACCTGACGAGTTATTAAATAAAGAGGACCCAATAAATGAATAAAAAAAACTTGTTAGTGGATTAGGCCTACTGGGGACACCACTTAAAAAAAAGGAGCTCTACCTCTTGGGTGGTGTGGAAACGATCTCAAATTAGGAAATGCATAGTTTTATGCTCTAAAATCCTTGTCAAATTTTAAAATTTGACTTAGATAATACCTATGTAGCGATGTTGCGGACATCGGCCACGTGGGAACTTTTTGGGGATTTATTCCTACTCCCATTTAGGAACCTAATTTAGGTAATGTGAAAACTTTATAAATTATTTCTTCTAAAAAGTACTATTTCCGTTCACTATTTGTTCAGTTGACCATTGGTTGTATGCTGTCTTTTGATTGACTTTTGGCCAGTGTGTCCAATAGATCATTTTGGGTCTTAGACCCCAGGTTTCAATGAATAATCTTCAACGTCTCCAGTACATTTGATCTCACTTAAAAGGCTGTTTCTTGTCTATATTCCATTGAGAGTTGGGTTCTAGCTATTTTTCCTGCAAATTGAACAGTTTGCTGTCTCACTAGGAGTGAGTTCAAAACTTTAATGGGCAGCATTCTTAAGCGGTATTAAAAATATAGGTACCTACTGCCTCTAACACAATTATCTTAAGCCGATAGATCACGCATAGATCTGATGCCGTTCAAAAAAATTACATAATTATGTATGACTGAGTAAAG